GCGGGTGGGACTGCAAATTGGTACAGCCACTATGGAAAACAGTATGGAGGTTCTTCAAAAACTTAGAATTGATCTACCATATGATCTAGCAATCTCTCTACTGGGATTTTACCCCAAAGACTTGAAAACACATATCCAAAAAGACATTTGCACACCAATGTTCATAGCAGCATTATGCACAGTGTCCAGGACATGGAAGCAACCGAAGTGTCCTACAATAGATAATTGGATAAAGAAGCTGTGGTACATATATACAATGGAATATTACTCAGCCTTAAGAAGAGATGAAATACTGCCATTTGTGACAACATGGATGGACCTCAAGATAATCATGCTAAGCGAAATAAGACAGAGAGGAAAAGTTGAAAATCACATGATATCACTTATATGTGGGATATAAACCTAAAAGCAAGAAACAAACAGGACAAACAGAGAATCATGGACATGGACTACAGACTAGTGGTCACCAGAGAGTAGGGGGTGATGGAGGAAGGGGTAAGTAGACGGGGTAAAGGGGGTCAAATATAAGGGGATAGGGGGAGGGTCAAGTGGGTAAAAGAGATAAAATATATGGTAGCTGAAGGAAACTGGACTTTGGGTGGTAAACACACAATAGAATATACAGATGTCAAATGATAATGTACACCTGAAAATTATATACAATTATATACAATTATTAACCAATGTTACCCCAATAAACTTAATAATAAAAAAAAAACCCTTACTAATGTAAATTATGTACCCTAATAGTTATTTAAAAGACTTTTCTATTAATATTGCAGATATTCTACTTTGGAAATTTTACTTGTGAGAATGGAGACAAATTCCTATCATGCTGTTGATTTCATAGATACATAGTAGACGATTACTGTGTAATGTAAGGTATTTCATTTGCTTTTATAATACCACTCCCTATCATGAGGTAATCTAATACAATTTCTATTTGCTTTTTTATTTCAGTCTAAGCCCTTACACAGGCAAACTGACTCCTCTCTGCTTGTTTGGCTATGAGTCATATTTAATTCCCAGGCTTACTACTGTCAGTTGCTGTGCACTGAATGTTCCTACTCTGAGACCAACAGTTTTCAGAATGTGAAATGAAGTTAGTACTAGCCTTTGCTGCATAGTCATACAAGTAAATGCTAATTATTAGACAAAAATCTTATTTGCCTTGACTTATTTGGGAAAAAATAAGGACAAATATTTTTCTATGATAAAGACTTTCCCTCATACTCAGGCTCATTTTAAATCATTCCTACTCTAAACCTACAATTATCAGTACTCTATTTAGAAGTAATTTAGTGGTTTAATAGAGCTGCCTTTAAATGGTGAGAAATTCTAGACTCTAGTAAGATTACTCACTTTTATTTGGCTATTTAGTACAAACAGAAGTCTAGTTCTCTTTGTAGGCCAGCTAACGAACAGAGTAATCCCAGTAAATATAGCTTAGTCTCAGTTCACAAATATATACATACCCGAAAGAAGGTCCTTGGTAGGGGGATTGTTTGAAGAAAGAATGCATGAATCACTGTGACTCTTGGCAACTGTCCTAATTTGAGGCTGGAATTCAGAACTGTTGAGAAGGGACATCTGCTTCCGTGGGGCTTTGTCTTTCAGAGTCATAGACTCTAAACTCTGTCCTGAATTAAGATGGTGTTGTAGTCTAAAAACAGAGTCCTTTGTTGTATCAGAGTTCTCTGCAAAGTACAAGTGGTCCTTCCCCCTGTTTTAAAATAAAGAACATCAGAGACAGAAAGTGGATCAGTGGTGTACAGCAGTGTAGGTTAGACTTTGTAAATGTTTCTCATCTCTCAAATGAAATAATAGATGCTTTACCTACTACTGTGGAGACAATGACAAAGAGAGTTCAGTGCTGGGCCTGATGCAAAGCAAATGCTTCCTAAGTATTTAAAACCAAAATCTATTTCTCTTACTCTACTGTTTCACAAAATACTGCCTTTTCCCTCTTCCCTCAAGGACATGTATCATGTCATCTACATATGATTGAGTCATAATTATTTACCTGTATCTTAAAAACCCCCCCCCCCCCCCCCGCCCCCCCGCCACTAGACTGCAAGTAGTCCTCAGAAACAGGAATTAATTTCTATGTCCAGCATCTGGTACTGGACGAGGAACACAATGGGTACTTAATAGTTATTTGCTGAATGAGTGACTACCTTTAGTCTTTTACCCAATCACAAATGAAAGACAGAAATTATGAGTACAGTGGGAGTTAGTAGACAGATTGACTGGTATTAAGTAATTACCTTGGAGTGGTTGATCTACTACTGTTAGTTGCTAAATCTTTTCCATCAATTTTGGTGGTAGGTATCCTACAAGACCTTGATGGAACCAGAAACTGGGTATTGCTGGGTTCAGTATATTCTCTAAATCCCTGCTCAGGTAAAAGCACATTTTCTGTCATGTCAGTGGTAGGAAGAGGGTTATAGCTGTCATAAGTTTCTGACAGAGGCTCCAGGGCAAGTGAGACCTGAAAGAGACATGCAATATATCAGAAATTTTCTTTAGTATTGGTTAATTTTAAGACTCTTTGTTTACTATAAATTAATGGCCACCTTTTCTTACAGGATCAAGTTCAAATTCCTGCCTACCTCAGAAGCCTAATCTCTCATTGTATTCCCTTCCTCTATCCCTCTTCCTAGATAAACCAATTACTTAGCGTTCTCTAAATGTACCTTATATTTCATTCCTTATGCTTTTGTGTATGCAATTGCCTCAGCACAACTTCCTCGGTGAAAACTTGTGTTCAGGTAGAGGTGTCATGCCACTCTATTCATGTTTCTACTTACTCTGTATTTATCCATCAATATAACCACTATTTATTGAACACTTTACTATAGGCTAAAAGCTGTGCAAGCTCCTCACATAGAGAAGTTCATATGATGATATAACTCTGTCTCAAAAGTAAATTACCCTAATTTGAAGATTAAAAAAAAAAAAAAAGCAGAGGTTTAGAGGAGGTATTTGTAACTTACAGTTTGTTTTTCATCCTGACAATTATGAATTCCTTGAAGGCATGTACTGTCTTATTCATTTTTTTTGTCTTATTCATTTTTATGTGGATTAATTAGCATAGTACTCAGTGTACAAGCCTAGTATGCCTAATAATGCCTAATGGTTTGACCAATAAAACAATGACATAGTACCTTCTGTGTCCTTAGCTATTTGAGAAAAATAAGGCCCAAGTTCCATGCTAGGGATAAGGCAAGGTGAAGAGGGAGGAGGGCTAAGATGAAAAATAATCACTTGAAGTTTCCTTTATCATCTTATTCATGTGAATTCAGGTTTTTTATTAAAAGGCCCTCCAGTCCTCTGAAAAGCCTAATGGAGAAAAGTCTAATGGAGGAACAAAAAATAAGCCTAAAGCAAGACTTTAGAGAAGTGAAGAAAATATTCCAAAAGAAAAGAACAGTGGTATTAAAAGTTGTTGCAATGAAAGAGAAAGCAGAAGGAATGGTTTCAGTAGCCAAAGAAAATCAAATAATGATAAATGGACTAAAACAAAAATGAAAGATTACAGTTAGATGTTTTAAGATGTCTCAGGGAAGGTCAACAGAATAATCTGCTCAGAGAAACTGCCAAGGCACAGACTCAATAAAACACACTTAGGTCTTGATTAGAATTTTGTTCATGAACCAGGTAATAAAAAGTTTTTAACATCTATTCATCATCAAGACTTTCTACAAAGACAAATGACAGGAATACATGAGACAAATACTCTGTTCAATGATCACTATTATAGAATCACATAAAATCCTGGCTGCCCAAATGTAAATGTCTGAAAGTGTTCTCTTGCCATTCACCAACTGCCAAAAGGCTGCTACTACTATATTCTAGAAAGAAAGGAGACACTGAGAATAAAGGCTGTGTCCCTGGCCTTAACAATGACCTGCTGTCTGGCCACTGAGTTTTGCTTTTGACCTAGGCAACCGGTAACAAAACAACTCATAGGCCTATACTACCAGTGGCCCATGAACAAAGTAGAAAGTCCAGGGACCTGTGATACCCATTTTATAATCAAAACATAAGTACTGGCCTAACTCCTCTGTTCAATTAACAGATATTGGTTGATACCAGCTCAGTGCTACCTGCTTGAGGCAAACAGATAAAACATGAAATCTAACCCAGAGGATCATAGTATCTTGGAGGGGCACTTAAAAAGAAGTAATTTTAATATAAAATGGTGAATTCTGAAATAAGAAAGTGTATTGGGTGCTATGAGAACATTCAAGAAGGGTCTGAGCTTAGGGAAGAGGTGAGGAAGGGTTGCCAAGGATCGTTTCCAGAGTGAAATATAAACATCTGAGTTTAGAATCTTAAATATGAATGAGACAGATAAGGCTGAGGGAGGCTGAGGTAAAACATTCCAGGTAGAGGAAAGAGCATAAGTCAAGCTTCAGAGGTATAAAACAGGCTATTGTTCCAGCAATTCCTACCAGCCCAAGAGATTTTCACTCCTGACCCCTCTGCCTCCATATAATGTACCCAACACACTCCTGCATTCATCTCCCAGATCATCGTTCCTGTCTACCTCAGTCATTCTCCTATCCAATCATGGTTCACCCCTGTGCTCACTCCTTTGCTAACTCCCCATTCACTGAGTCCTATAGAATTTCTATTTCATACAAACTACCTTACCACTTTAACTGAACATCTTTCTTAAAATGTCCCCATTTCTTCAGTCTTTTCCAGTGGAAACTACTCTTTCACTAGCCAGGATAAGGGAAGTTGACTTATTCCCTTCTGGCGCCATCTCCAGACTATCATTCTATCGTCTAAATATATAACATCTCTTCTGAAGTCCAAATAACATGATTCTCACATCCATAATAGAACAACCTCAAGGCCACTCATCAAGGCTTTCTAACACTGAGTTGCCCACAATCATCTACTACATCTATAACATTTATCAGTATAAAAGAGAGCATATTAGAATGTCTATTTTTCAGACTTATGCTGGTCAAGTCAGCATTTAAAAATGTTTTTAAATTATTTAACAATGCTTTAAAAATCAGATTTTATGTAAAATTTTGATTTCTGGCTTCTCTTGAAAAATCAGAAGATACAGCAATGCTGGGTCCCCATTGTGCTGTGGCAAAAATTAGCTGGAGTGGAGTAGTGGCTTTAGTCAGGGTATTTGCTCAAGTTTGCAAAGCCCCGGCCCTGTCCCAACATGAAGAGGAATGACAACTGCTGTTTACCATTACGCTTGGTGTGCTATTTAAAAAATTTATTTTCTTTCAGTAAAATGGACATTTATGTACATGTACATTTCTATGAATTTTAACCTATATATAGATGCATGTAACCACCACTATAATTAAGATATAAAAACTTCAATTACCCCCTACCCCCAAACTCCCTGGTGCTATCTATTTGTAGTCATACCCTCTCCTCACCTCTAACCCTCAACAACAGCTCATCTATTCTTGATCATTACAGTTTTGGCTTTTGGAGAATGTCATGTAAATGGAATCATACAGTATGTACCCTTTCAAGATGGGCTTCTTGCACTCAGCATATGCCTCTAAGATTCATCCATGTGGTGTGTGTATCAATAGTTTATGCCTTTTAATCGGCTCAGTAGAATTCTATTGTTAATATGGCTTGTCACATTGATATTCGAATATTGAAATAGACTTGCATTCCTGGGATAAACCCCATTTGGACATGATGTTGTTATTCTTGTTATACATTCTTGGACCCAACCTGCTTATATTTCATTGAGAATTTTTAGGTATCAGTTTATTTTTAGGTCTAGGTCTTGTACTGTCCTCTATCTTTTTGGTATCGAGGTGGTGCAGGGCTCACAAAATAAGTTGAGGAGTATTTTCTCCTCTTCTATTTTGTGAAAAAGATTGCGTAAAATTGGTGCTATTTCTTTTATAAACGTTTGGAAGATTTCGCCAGTGAAATGATCTCTCAGCCAGGAGATTTCTCTTTTGGAAAGTTTAAACTACAAATTCAATTTTTTCAATAATTACAGGTCTATTCAGGTCATGTATTTCATCTTGAGTGATTTCTGGTAGTTTGAGGTTATCGAAAAATTGCTCCATTTTATCTAAATTGTCAAATTTATAGAATTGTTTGTAGTATTCCCTTAATGTCTTTCTTACAGTAGAATCAAGAGGAAAGTGAAATTTTTTTTTGTGTTCAAAAAAGAGAAAGCTAGAGACCTATGCCTTTCAAAGGAAATGGGAGAAGGCACATTTCTTTATGGAAGAGAATATTCCTAATGGTGAAATAAGGCAAATAAAATGTGACACTCAAAAGATAGCATTATGGAACAAACTATAGTAGAACTATGATCAGATGTATCATACTGGAAAAGAAAAAAAAATAAACAAAAAACTACTGAAATTTAAAAAGGATTTGTTTTTTAAAAGCAAATAAGTGGTACCCCTGAGCATGAAATTAAGATAAAAAGCTTTAAGGCATCAAAATCTCTTATAAATGGTGAAATTTATAAAACAATGCCTAGCGAATGAAGCAGAATTTGTGAGTAATAAGTGATATTTGCATATGTAGGTCTAACTAAAATTATAGTTGTTCAGAATGTCAGTGTTATGGCTATAAACTTACAAGATGAATTAAGTAAAAATGTTACATAATTTGTGGCATTTTTCTTTGTAGCTGATGAGAACACAGATAAAAATAACTCCACTGATAGCTGTGTTTATTTATAAAGTACCAATGAGAATTATGATGTGAGTGAAAAACTTTTGGACAAGATGCACATAACAAACAAATCATCAAGGAAAGGGTATTTCTCTGAGGATTCTAAGGGTTGAAAAGTTTATTAAATATTGATGACAATGAATGATCCTCCTGCAATGGTCTCTATTGACAATGGACTTGTTTCAAAATTTAAATCCAAGTGGCAACATTTTGTCAAGACACAGAATCATAAACCTATCCAGTGTCTTGTTTACTTTTTCTAAAAAGCTAAAAGTCAAATAACACATATATATAATTAACATATTGATTAACTCACATGGTCTAAGTTTTGCTTGATAAACTGGATAAGCAGTATGGTGGCTTCTTACTACTAAGTGAATATTCGGTGGCTGAGGGCTGGGTGCAGTGTTAAATGTTTTTGAGCTTGAGTTAAAAGAAGTCTCTTCGATTATGTTTTCCAAGAAGAAATCTCAGCCTGAGATCATTAGCAGGTACTGATCAAATATAGGGCCATTTTAATTGACATTATAGGCTATATATAAACACTTAAATTACTTATCTACAAGTGTATTCACAAGGAACCATATATGATTCAATTGATTCATTCCTTGATGGTTGTATCTGGGAAATTTATTTGGCAAAGAACAATCTGTTCTACTTTTCTATCATTTTTTATGTTTAAATAGGACTTCCAGAAATGAAAGTGATGGCATTGAAATACGTTCCTAAAATTGAAGAACTAAAGACTGATATTCCAAAAGGATTTTTTTGACTTCAAACTTTATGAAAACC